GATGGCACCTCCACAACCGGCAGTGCTCATGCGGTACCTGGATGATTAATTCGCACTTTGGTCACAGGAAGGAGAAAGACTGGAAGAGTTTCTGAATTTGTAAACCAGTTTGAAGGAAAAATTCAATTCACGATGGAAGTAGAGGAAGGTTAGTGGTTACCGTTCCTGGACGATGAAGTTATTCATTCTGATGGGACGCTCAAACAGAAATTGTTCATAAAGAAGTCCTATGCTGGGGTAATACTTAATTTTCGATCCCATCACAATTACAGTCTAAAGATTAGAATAATGAGGAGAATGATCCTCCGAAGCCTGCGATTAACGGATGTAGAATTCTGGGACGAGGAGCTGGACAAATTGACGAGGATATTCCTCGTCAATGGCCATCCAAACAAAGTGAAAAAGAAACATACGGAACGTGAAGAGCCGATGGTAGAACGGGGAATATGAAAGAACAGTAAGAACGGAGAAGGATTCACAAAAGTGGATATGCCTACCTTCTTGCAAACGAACACAGAAGCTACGGCCAATATTGAGTGAATAGAATATTCAATTGTCCAGAAAAGAGAATTTAACACTTCTCACAAGTCTACCGACGCAAAATGAAAGGTTGGACAAATTGGATTGTTCAGCAGTTTACTGTATATCATGCGGCGACTGCGAACATAAATAAATGGGCGAAAAAGGGAGCAAAATTGGTACACGGATCAAGGAACATCAGAGGCTCTGCAGGAAAATGGATACCGAAAGGTCAGAACTAGCGGAACACATCGCACAGACTGGAAACAGATCAATTGGAAGGCAACAGAAAGATGCGTATAATGCGATGGAAACACAAGGAAGCTGAAGATTTAGAGAGCATTGAAATGCTTGGGGAGAAAAATCTAATGAACAGGAGATTGGAGGAAAGTAGAGTTAGCGATATCTTTGCTTACTGCCTAAGCAAACTCGGGGAAAACAAAAATAGAACAACATCAGCAAAAAGGAGACGCCTGGATCAAGGATCTACCGCTAACCGGAGAAAAAAGGAATCTCGATGAAGAAAGGGGGGGCAGGGGTTTTTGGCAATAAAGCGAAAACGTTGTCAGTGAGTGATGTTCATTTCGAATAAACCAGTACAGCTTTGGGGGCCTGGCAGTCGGGGAGCTGGGCAGACGGATAAGCAAACCGTCACGGAAATTTGGTTTTATGACCAAAATGTACCAGAAATCCACTTAAGATGCCGCATGCGACCAGAGATAGGCGTCCACAGTTTGCTCAGATAACATGGGCTTAATCAAGGAGTGAATCGGGAAGGGAACGCCTGACATCTGCAACCATGGCAATCAGAGCTTAGGTGCTCTGCTCAGTGAAGCGGTTGTTTATGTGCTTCTAGGGCCTTGAGAAATAGCGCCTGGGGTGAAATGCAGACTGGGACTGGAACCGAGTGAAATCGGTCAACCAGAAAGATAAGGAACGGATCTACGAGACAATGAGGGG